ATCGATTGGAATACATCCATGTCTTATCCATGGTTTACGGTTTCTGAGTCAATCTGAGCTAAATGATAAATTAGAAAACAAAACCAATACTCAAAACTTGCACTTGCTCTTGCACAACCGTATAACAAAATCAATACTCAATACTTTTCACTAAATTCATTTTATTCTATCAACTACTTTAGTACACAAGTATGCTACAAGTAATGATGAAAATAGGGGAAATGTACATTTGCATGGATGCTTCCTTCATTCTCGTAAAGTCTTTTGACTTCTAAACATATATAGCGAGGCTAAATATTTTGGTTTACAATAGTGCATATAGTACGTATTTAACTCATATGTCTATTATATGTGAAAACTTAGAGATGACATTTACATTGTGTTGTATGAGAGAAAAAATCGTACACACACTCTACAAAACAAAACTATAGAGTAAGCTATGGAGCAGGAAATGAATGGTATTTACTATCAATATGTTGTAGGAAAACAACAAGGCAAAACCACAATTATGGTCCAATCAAAACCCAACCACAACAAACACTGTATCTGCGATAATATAGTTAATATGGAATGTGAAAGAATCTGCATAAACTAGCGACTCTGACCATCAGACATGCAAACTCCAACACATATGCATTCCCCTACCACTATAGAAAAAAGTAATGCTACACAAAATTCCTATATCGAATTAACTAAAAGAATTATTAGAAGATAGTCACATCTTTATTCATACAAAACTATTCTAGAAATTAGAATCAAAGCAAGCATAGAAAAATTTATTCATACAAAACTATACTAGAAATTGACATACCTAGAACGGAGGCGGAGGTCCTGATGAACGGAGGCGGAGGTACTGATGAGCGGAGGCGGAGGTACTGATGAACGGAGGCGGAGGTACTGATGAACGGAGGCGGTGGTCCTGAACAAGATTTCGTAGATGCTAACGGCGACAGAGCTCTGGTTTAGGGCTTTGAAGATTTCGTGAAGAACAATAGAAAAGTGATGATAGGAATTTTTGTTTTTTATTATAAAACTACCTACGAAAGCGCTTTCTAAAGGTCACCTATAACAACGCTTTTTAATGTAAAAGCGCTTTCGTAGCATATCCTATAGCAGCGCTTTTAAAAGCGCTTTCTAAAGGTCAACTTTAGTAGCGCTTTGTAAAAGCGCTTTCTAAGGCTAACCTTTAGCAGCGCTTTTTGAAAGCGCTTTCTTAAGGTACCCTCTGAAAGGCACCCTTTAGCAGCGCTTCTCAAAAAGCGCTTTCTAAGGGTGACCTTTAGCAGCGCTTTTGAAAAGCGCTTTCTTAAGGCACCCTTTGAAAGCGCTTTTTTTAAGCGAATTTTTTTTAAAACCTACAGCAGCGCTTTTACTTAAAAGCGCTTTCGTATGTGTGCTGCTAAAACTTATTTTTGGCGTAGTGCCTCTTGAAGGCCATTTTCCCTTCGATCTCTTATTCTTCTTATTGAATCGTGCTTACAACGCAATCTCCGTTTTGGCCTTGTCGTTTCCTCTTTCATCCATTCTTTGTTCATGAGCCTCTAATGAGCTTTGAAGCTCCTCATTTCTCATGTTAAAAAGATCCTTTGATTCTTATATTGCAACCACTATGTTGTCGAATCTTGACGTTAAAGAACACAAGATTTTTGCTACGACATTCTGCACGGTCACGGTTTCACCATAAAACTTCATTTGATTCACCAAGCGCGTTATACGCGTAATGTAATCATTGATCAACTCCTTCTCTTTCATTTACACTAGCTCGAACTGCCTCTTGTGAGTTTTTAACCTCACAGCCTTCACTTTATCATCCCCTTCATAAGCTTTCTTCAAGACCTCTCAAGCTTGCTTCGTCGACGTGAAATCACCAACCTTTTCAAAGTTGTCACTATCGATGCAAGAATGTATCAAGAAAAGTGCTTTGTAGTCTTTCTTCTTCTCTTTTTTGAATGTAGCTTGTTGAGCAGTTGTAGCTTCTGTCTCAAGTGGCGTAACACCATCGTTCACTACTTTGAGAACATCTTGATACTCAAATAAAACTTTCATTTGTTTACACCACTTGTCATAATTCTTGAAATCAAGAATTGAAAGGTTGGTAGGGATTCAATCATTAGAAACATAGACATGTTTGTAGTGAATTAATGGATCAGAACCAAGGCTCTTGATGCCAAATATTAGAACATACACAAAAACTAAATTACTGAATCAATGGCGAAAGTGGTTAATTGGAGAAGATGAAGTTTAAAGAGAGGAATTGAAGATTACGCGCAAGAGAGAGAGAGAGAGAGAGAGAGAGAGAGAGAGAGAGAGAGTAATTGAAGAGAAAAATTAAAAATGACATTAAACTCATAAGTCTCACAATTACACATTACAAAAGGTATTTATAGGATAAAAAATATTAACCAACAAAGTTGTCTCACAGAACAATATGAAAAACATAATATCGTGCCAGAAACCAGTTTCTCAAAATCTGGAAACCGGTTTCTTCTTCGAAACTTTCAAATTTTAGATTTCCAGAAGTATTTTTCCAAATAAACTGTTTGCTCGAAGCGACTACAAAAATTACTAGAATAACGTTTTAATTAATATATATATATATATATATATATATATATATATATATATATATATATATATATATATATATATATATATATATATATATATATATATATATATATAGTTGAGAGGTGAAAAACATGATCGAAAGTAGGTAGTGAAAAAGTAAAAAGAGTGAAAGTTGATAATTAATGTTACAGAAAATGTTTTGTTGGGTTAGAAGAAAAAACAAAATATATAAGAGAAGTGGGAACAAAAAAGAGTGTGGATTATAACAGTAAATATCAGTTGTGTTTCCTTTATTTGGCAACACAAAAGGTTTTTAAAAATGGATTGTTGGAAATTACAAGAGATTAATAGAAAAGTTGAATGCAGGAAGGAAGAGAGAGTGAGAGGCAATAATGCTATGAAGGATAGGAGACAGAGAGTTGCTTTTTGGGTACTTGGGGAATAAAATGCTGTCTCTCTACGAGGATTGGCGTGGAGAGAGAGTTTCTGTGTTTTCTCTTTAATCTTTTTATCACTCTTTACAAATCAAAACAAACAAACTATTACTAGTTTTTTTTTTTAAGGGTCATGCTGACTACGGCTTTGGAGCACTCTTTTGAAAAAAATACAAACTCGGTTTGTTGAAATTGAAGTTAATTTTCATAATTTTACAAAAATATATGTAGCATAAATTTATTTTGTTAGTTGAATATTTTTTAACGTATAATTATAAAGATTAAATCTTCAAATAAAAAAAGTTGACAATAGATGACAATTATATTTTCATCTTTCTTCTTTAGACTACGTATAATAAGGATGTTGAAAAACTTATTCAATAAATGAATAGATGCAATAGAATATTGAATAAGGAGTTGAAAATAAGGCGGATTAATTGATGTTAAAAACATTCAATATATTGAATTAAGAGGGAGTGTAACCACATATAGTATTTTGTAAAATCTTATTAGTTGTTGTGATTGTTTAAATTTTTAATTCATCTTAATTATCCGGAATCAATTATTTTATGATAAATGAATTATTTATTTATTTTATTTTTACCACAATTCATCATTTTTTTGTCGATAAATAAAAATTTGATTCATTTGATTTGGACACAAAAAAAAAAAACTATTTTTCTATTTATTTTTTTCTATTTAACGTCCAAAAACTATTATTTTATCCACTTTTATTGTTTTAATAATGACTAATCATATAAAATTAAAAAAAAATTTAAATAAATTAAAGAATATAAATTTAGAGAAAAAATAAAATAAAATATTTAATTCTTAATTATTTTAATTTTATTTCAATCGATAATTGCTATTAATATAAAATCATAAAAAGAAAATTATAAAAAAAAATAAAAATATGAAATAAAAATGGTGATGTAGGATGTTGAATTTTATTAAACAAACTGTTGTAGTGAATAAAAGTTAAATGAATATTAAATTATTAGATAAAAAAAAAAGATAATATGAATTATAAAATGTGAAAAAAGTGTGCTAAATATATATGTAAATCATTGGAGATACTCATAGTACAATTTTTTTGAATTTATGACAGTTTTGTCTGCTTATTCAAAGAATGATATGTAAGGAGGGAAGCTTTATGACTCAAACTTATAATTTTGAATTATGAAGTCTCCATTCTTTTATTCTCTAATTATTTCTTAACCAACATCATCAAACTTAATAGTAACTATCACATCTCATTAATTAATCTAACGAATGTATTTTTAATTTTGTTTTTGTTTTTCCTCTTTGTTATGTCAGCCTTATGTAAACAAATATTATAATTTATTTTGGTAAAAAAATAAACAACCATAATTTATATATATCAATCAAACTCCTTAAAAAATGCACTATTTCTTTGATTTTAATAATTAAGGTCCAATAGAGTGAAATATTAACATTTATTTATATTTATTATTAACATAAATAAATTAATAATTTTTTTTAAAAAAATTAAAAAATGAAATTAGATTAGACATAAAAGAATATATTATTACATCATGCATATTTAGATTGGTATACAGCACCTTTTGAAAAAAAAAAGTTGGTATGAAATGATTTCTTGTTTCTATAGCAATAAACTTAATTCAAAGTAGAATGAAAGAGAGAGAATAATGAAGTGGAAATCAAAAGCCAACAAAAAGCTGCTTCTTTAAACTATAACAAAAAGAGAATTAATCAAAAGCAAAAGCTAAAATAAAAAAATAAAAAACAAAAATAATGATAAAAAAAGATGTATAAAGAAGAGGTGAAGTCCCAGTCTTGTATATTTCCAAACCTCAACACTTTCTTTCTCATTCTCTCGTTTTTCAAACCATTTTGTGGGGGTGTGGTGGTGGAGAGAGGGAAAAAAAGCATAAGAGTGAACCAAAAAAAGCAGTGTAGTAGTGAAGAAACTCTCAAAGTTTCGGGGTGGAGAGGGGGGGTGTAATTAGCAAAGTAATGCGCTCAGGAGCTTATACATTGCAAGAGACACTAACAGCCGAGGCTGCTTCAATCTTGAAGCACTCTTTAGGCTTAGCACGTAGAAGAGGCCATGCACAAATCACACCTCTTCATGTTGCTGCTACATTGTTGAGTTTATCATCTTCTTCTTTAAGAACCGCATGTCTCAAATCTCAGCAACAAAATAACCATAACCATAACCATAACCATAACCATAACCATAACCATAACCACCCTCTTCATTGTAGAGCTCTTGAACTTTGCTTCAATGTTGCTCTCAACAGGCTTCCAACTATCACTACTACTCATTCTTCTCCTTTGCTTCAACCTCATCAGCATGTTCCTTCTCTTTCTAATGCTCTTATTGCTGCTCTTAAACGAGCTCAAGCTCATCAAAGAAGGGGGTGTATTGAGCAAAATCAGCAACAGCCTCTTTTGAGTGTTAAGGTTGAGCTTGATCAGCTTATTCTTAGTATTCTCGATGACCCTTCTGTGAGTAGGGTTATGAGAGAAGCTGGTTTTCAAAGTGTTTCTGTTAAAAATAACTTAACAGAAAGAAGCTCTTCAAACTCTAACCTTTCTGTTTTTCATTCTTCTTCTTCACCTTCTCTTACTCATAATAACCATTTCTCCAGTTCTTATGGTTATGGTTACGGTTATGGTTATGGTTCAGTTCTTTTTTCTCCTCAGAAGAAACCACAAGTGTTTAATAATAATAATAGTAATAATCCTAGAGATGATGTTAATGTTAACCTTGTTTTTGATGTTCTTTTGAGGAAGAAGAAGAGAAACACTGTGATAATCGGCGATACCGTTGCGTTAACCGAAGGACTAGTTGGTGAGTTGATGGAAAGATTTGCGAGAGGTGCAGTTCCTGATGAGATGAAAAAAGCTCATTTTGTGAAGTTTCATAATCTTGCTTCGGTTTCTAGTTTGAAAAGGGAAGAAGCTGAGATGAATGTTGTGAGAGTGTTGAAAAGGAAGGTTAGTGATTGTGTTGCATTAGGTGCTGGTGGAGGTGTTTTCTATGTTGGAGATTTGAAGTGGATAGTGGATTGTGATGATGATGATGATGAGAAGTTAAGTGATTATGTTGTGGATGAAATGGGAAAGTTGTTTGGTGAAAATGGAAACAATATTTGGCTTATTGCAACAGCTAGTTATCAAACATACATGAGATGTCAAATGAGGATACCAAATCTTGAGAATCAATGGTGTCTTCAAGCTCTTCCTGTTCCTTCTGGTGGACTTGGTTTGACTCTTCACTCTTCAAGGTAAATAATTAGTTAGTTAATCTCTTATTAGCTTAATTAATCATGTTTTACTTGGTTAATTTGTTTTGCAATTTGTACGATTTTTTTTTTTTGGACTATGGCAGAAGGCACTGTAAAAAAGCATGGTTGGTTGGTAAGGTAAGGTAGACGTGAAGCAGTGCCTTTCTGCTTCACTTTGTTTTGTCAGTATGTAAACAAAACCTCTTTAGACATTACGGATTCACATGATGTTTTGTACAAGGTACTATGCTTTTTCAAAAGCAAAACCATAAAGTAGAAACATATACATGCAAATATGGTTATGTTTCCTAGGTTTCTTTCTCTTGAATATGACTTAGAATAACCTTTTAGATGTTATTAACTTTAATAATCTGGTAATTTAAGAATTGATGTAAGAGTAAAAAACTTTCACTTGAACTTTAATTAAAAGCGTGTCTGATGTATGACATGTGACAATGTCCGATGTCCGACATATGATAATGTCTGACACGGGTTGATTATGTTCAATTATTTTATAATTATAAACGTGTCAGTGTCATTGGCGTGTTTGAAATTCGTGTTAATATTTTGTTTCTTGTGATATGGATATATTAAAACTCGATGCTAATTGAAGTTTGTTACTCAATTTGCAGTGTGCATGATTCAAAAATGAGCATAACTCAAAACCCATCTCTTATGATGGAATCAAAGCTCTTTAGCAACAAGGAGGGACATGATAAGCTTAATTGTTGTGAAGAATGTGCTTCAAGTTATGAAAAAGAAGCTCAATTATTCAAACCACCTCAGAAGAATCTCTTGCCTTCATGGCTTCAGTCTCATAGTACAGAAACTCATCATAAGGTAGCAAAACGTTAGGTTTTTTTTCTTCCCATTTTGCATAATTGAAGAAAAAGTGCTTAATGAACAATTCAATTATTTTTCAGGATGAATTGACTGAGTTGAAGAAAAAGTGGAACAACATGTGTCAATGTCTCCACCATAACAAACAACCTCAAAACCATTGGAACAACCCTTATAGTTCAAATGCAAAGATCTATCCATATAATTCATCATACCCTTATTGGCCAAACCAAGGTAGTACTATCTTGCCAGATTCATTAAGTTCAATATCTTTTGCTGATTCTGTAACCAAACCAGCTTATAGCTCAAATATTATACCTCGGTTCCGGCGCCAACAACAATCTTCCACCATTGAGTTCAATTTCAATGATGAAAAATCACAGAAAAACCATATGGCCGCAACAAGCTTGGATTCTCTTAAGGGTAGTATGGAAGATACTAAAGAGGTGAAAACAACTCTTGCTCTTGGAAACTCAACATTCAGTGGTTCAGTGCTTAAAAAAGTGGAAAATTTACAAAGAGATCATATTTGTAAAGTGTTGCAGGAGAATGTTCCATGGCAATATGAAGCAGTTAGTTCAATAGCAGAAGCATTGGTTGATTCGAAATCGAAGGAATGTGCTACTTGGTTGTTTTTGCAAGGGAATGATTCTATTGGGAAGAAAAGGTTGGCACTTGCAATTGCAGAATCTGTTTGTGGATCAGTTGATATGTTATTTCAATTGGATATGTTGAAGAGAGAGAATTCAGAGACACCCTTTTCTGAAATAGTTGTTGGGCTAATGAGAAACCATGAAAAGTTTGTTGTTTTGGTTGAAAATGCTGATTTTGGTGATACCCTTTTGAGGAAAATGGTTGATGATGAATTTGGGATTGGAAAGTTTGGAACTTTGGGCCAGAAAATATTCATATTGACCAATGGATGCAATATGGTTAGTGAAGATCAGAAGAAGGATTCTGTGATGAAGTTGGTTTTGCAGATAAGTGAAACTGAGAAAAAACCAGCTTTGGAGTTATCATCGTCTTCGTCATCATCGCCTTGTTTGAGTAATAAAAGAAGGGCTGAACTTGATTTGTTTGGCAAGAGTAAGAATCCAAGGATTGAAGAAAATGAAGGGAAGGACAAAAAGATAGAAATTTCATTTTCAAGACAATCGAGTTTCAACAACACTCTTGACTTGAACATGATAGCTGATGAAGAAGATGATAATGATGATGATGATCGTGATCACGAGGGAGAAAATAGTCCGATCTCAAGTGATTTGACAAGAGAAACATTAGGAGAGCATTTGATCTCGAACGGATCACTTGACTCTATTGAGAATTTGTTCGAGTTGAGTCATACTCCGGATAAGAACAAGGAAACGACAAAGATGTTTATGTCTATGGTAAAAAGATCATTCGAGGAGGTTTATGGGAATGTAAAGTTTAGTGTACAAGATAAGGTGATAGAGGAAATTGGTGTTGGGTGTGGGGGGTTTACTAACAACATGTTTGAGAAATGGCTAAAAGAGATTTTTCAAACAAGTTTAGAAAGAGTTAATGGTGGGGGTAAAAATGGTATAGTTTTTACACTTTGTTGGGGTGGTAAAGAGGATAGAAAATGGGATAGAGGGTTTATGGGTTCATGTTTGCCTAAAAATATCCAAATTGTTAACTACTTAATGGATTGATCATATGACTAACTTTGGTTAGTAGTGGGGGGTGATAAGATGTAAAATGGAAGTAATAGGTATCTTTTGTGTAACTGCTAATTTTCATTATAGAATGTGTTTGTTTTTCATGCTTTTTAACTCTTTTTTGTGAAGCATCTTTTACCATTCTGTCTTATGCACTCTTTAGAATCATGAGTAGCATCTTGTTACGAGTATAAATCAAAATCGGTATCTCAGAGTTTACAACACTCACAAATATTACACACTAAATCAAAATCGGTATCTCAGAGTTTACAACACTCACACATATTACACACTAAATCAAAATCGGTATCTCAGAGTTTACAAAACTCACACATGATTTCAAGGGAATGGTGACTAGTATATATAGCACATCATTTCAAGCTCTTTAAACATTACTCACCTATGACTGAAGAAAATTCCTTATGCAACCCTTGTTCATTTGATTGAAATGGAAAGCTAATTTCATTTTCATACAAAGTGATATACTATCTTAATATAGTTATGCTTCTGGTTGGATGGAGGATATATGTTCAAGTTTTTAGTTCCATTTTTTCTTACCTTCCACTTTTCCACCTACTAATTAGTACTAATTTATTTAACTAAAAATATAAAAAATCTGATTTATGGTTTATAGAGAAGTATAGCTAGAAGGGTAACATGATATCTTAAACAAATTTTGACATTTTTAAAATTTTTCATGAATTAAGAGAGTGTTGAAGTGTAATTCAAGTCTAAGATTTTAGTGAGTTACTTGTGTTGCAAGTAACTAGGTTATTAAGTTAGTAAAGTTACTTGTTGTAACTAAGTAAGTTGGTTATGTTATTTTAGTCCTTGTTAGTGATTCTAAGCCCAATTAGTAGTGTATAAATAACCATCTTTATTATCATTAACAAGCGTCTACTGTGAATGTTCAATACACAATTTTTATTTCAGTTTCTCTTTTTCTATCTTATGTGTGCGTGTTAATATAATTTCAACTGTTGAAATATGTCAAACATGAAAATAGCAAATTTGAGGTGAAAAATTATTTTAACTCGGATTATGCTCAAGGTTTAGACACATGTAAATTTTTTTACATGATATAAGTCCAAGTTTTGTGAAACACAATGAGCTGGAAATATGTAAGCCTTCAACATGTAATTTCCTTATCTAAAGGTCAAATATATTATGTTACATAAGCAATGAAGGAGGCCATATGAGTGATGATAGCGGTTAGTTGACATGGTGTTTTGTGACAGTCAAAATGGAATTCACTTACAAAAAAGATCAAGTAGACCATAAAAGAACAAAGACATCAAGCTACATTATGGGAGACATGTCATTGCAAAAGGAAAGATATGCTTGGAGGAGATATACAATGTTTACAATAGAGCTGATTTTTTTGACAAAGCACTTCCTAGGCCAATTAATTAAAACATTATACGGGGATTTTTCAAGTTATGTGTGTGAAAACTAAGCAAAGTAGATAATCCTAGAGTATGGATTTGCTCTATATGGCTTAAGACTTTCTCTTAATAGTGTTTGAGAGTTAGTATGAATAGTTAGAATTAATCAATTCTATTATGACTTGGTAGAATTAATTGTTGTTTAGTTGAAATACAAGTATATAAGGAGTTACATTGTATATTCTATTTAAATTAATGATACATTAAGTACTTTTAAAATATTAATTTTTTTTAAACAAATTTTAGTTTATCGTCGGTTCTTAAAATTTTCAATTTAGCTTCCAATTGAATTTTTATAAGAGTATTTTACTTCTTAAATATTTTAAAATTGTCACTTATGTTTTAAAATGTGAACTCACACTCTTCTAATAAATAAATAAATAATAATGAGAGAATACAAACTATTCCCATAAGTTTTTACTCTTTCTTGACTTCAAATATCTGAGTGAATGTCTAATATGCAATGATCATAAAATTTTAGTTTACTCAAATTTTCACTACCTAACAAATTTTTTATTTAGATAACTCAAGTAATAATTTTTCACTAACATGCCTTAATATTAAATTTCATAGTTTTATTCTATCATGAAAGTCTTGACTAGCTAATGATACATTAATAAATATAATAGAAGTATTCAAATAGACCATACATTTTAGTCATTTTAGCAATTCACCATGCAAAATTGTCAAACATGTCATGTTAATTATAGTGTAATAGTCTAAATCATCCAACATGTCTATAGGCAACAAGTTTTGCTAAAGTTCGAGATCATACCCCACGTTATGCAAAGGAAACTCACAGTTGTCAAACATCTTAAGCAGAACTGTTCTAACAACATGAACATTGGAAGTCTTATTACCGAGTCAAATAAATCCATCTTCTTTTAAGTCCAAAGTCTAAAAGTCTTCTTTTTTGAATACACGTCGTAAGAGCATCATGATTTCATTATGTAACTCGTATTCATCTCCAAATGCTTTTCAAAATAAAGTGCCGAAGGGGAAATGCGTTTCAGAACTCCTCTGAAGGAACTGCTCGCTAAAACTCGGTCTTTGGGGGTATACTTTTTAGGATTCCGTCTCTGAAGGGGAAATACTTTTCAGAACGAAGCGATGAAGGAGATGTTTTTCAGAATAAACTTCTGAAGGAAATGCTTTTCAGAATGAAGTGCTGAAGGAGAAATGCGTTTCAGAACTCCTCTGAAGGAAATGCTCTCCAGAACTCGGTCTCTGGAGAATGCTTTTCAGGATTCCGTCTCTGAAAGGGAAATGCTTTTTAGAACGAAACATTGAAGGAGATGCTTTTTAGAATTCAGTATCTGAAGGGAATCACTTGGTCATGTAGATAGTCTCCTCGTCTTGTTTTGGGAATTGATTCATAACCTGTCTGTAAATTACCGATAGTATCTGTCTGTTTGCGAACTTAACCTGAAAAGGAAATGTTAGTTCTATGCAATGTCATGATGTATGTAATGTATTTGTAATGATGCTCTCAAAATAAAATAGAATAGTGTACGCATTTTGTATGTACGTGTCATGATATTTTTGCAAATGATGTATGGATGCAATGTGTTATTGGAGCATATCTGTAGCCTTGTATAGTAATGTCTGACTGTGGAAAATAAATCCCTGATTGTTGTTGGGGATGAAGAAAGTAATTCTTTAGCCTTGTTTAGAATACCTTTATTGGGGATTTATGCTTTCCGTTTGAGAATATTCCGCTGGGGATCTTCAACTTCTACTTGGGGATAGAAGCATTCAAGGAGAGTCGGTCACTTATCGTTCTTTGTAAGACTTGTAATTTGACTGGGGATGAACGAACTGAAATTCTCTGATGTGCTGTTTGTCTGGGTTTCAGATATGAATATTGACTCTTCTGGGGAGGACAACGTTGAACGTCATCTGGTTGGAGAAGAGAATCTTGTCGAGGAATTTTTGCAATGTTGGAGAAATAAACTCTGTTGGGGAAATAAACCCTATAGACTGTGGTGACTTCACTGGGGAAATATAATCATTGGACATTTTTGAAATCAAAACAGAGAAAGTAAAAATAGTTTTTTTGAATTTGAAACTGATTGCAATTATTTGGAAAATTTGTCTATAAACATACAGTTTTATACAAATAGACAAAGATCCTAGTAAGAGGAAATCATCTTAAAAGGTCTACAAAGAGAAACAAAGAAAAACAGCTATGTGGAAATAATCCCATCGAGTTTCAACTCTGCTATTTCCCCATATGTCTTCAAGCATCTCATCCCTTGATGTGGGAAGAAGTTGATTGAACTAATCTATACCCATTGAACTTTGACGTCGATAATTATGTTGGATGTAAGTAGATGGGTGATCCAACAGGACATAATCATACGTTTTAATCCCTAGCTTTTGCCTGGACCACCCTTTCGGGTTTTCAGTCCACCGGGATATCCTTTTTTGTCCAAGCCGCCCTTTCAGGTTTTCGACTTGCCGGATATATATATATATATATATATATATATATATATATATATATATATATATATATATATATATATATATATATATATATATATATATATATATATATATATATATATATATATATATATATATATATATATATATATATATATATATATATATATATATATATATATATATATATATCCCTAATTTTTGTCTGAACCCTTTTGGTTCGCTGGGATGCCCTTATTTTTGCCTAGGCTAGTCAACCTAGCAGGTTTCTTTTATGCGTAGTATTTTTTTAACTATGTCCGCATTTACAGGGTGTGAAAGATCTTCACCGTCCATGGTGGTAAGTATCATGGCACCGCCATAAAATATCTTCTTGATCACAAATGGCCTTTCGTATGTGAGAGTCCATTTGCCCCTGGGATCACCTTGTGGTAAGATGATGCGCTTTATTACCAAATCACCAGCCTGGTGCACCTGATGTTTGAATTTCTTGTTAAAGGCCTTGATCATGCGCTTCTAATACATCTGACCATGACAAACAGCTGCAAGCTTCTTCTCATTAATAAAATTTATCTGGTCCAGTCTAGTTTGAATCCATTCGTCTTTATCTAAACCTGCATCTTTCATAATCTTTAGAGAAGGAATATGGACCTCAATAGGCAGGACAACCTCCATACCATAGACTAGAAAAATGGAGATGCCCCAATTTATGTACATGCTGAAGTGCGGTAACCATGGAGAGCGAATGGTAATATCTCATGCCAATCTTTGTGCGTCACCGTCATTTTCTGCAAAATCTTATTAATATTCTTGTTGGCGGCTTCCACTGCACCATTCATCTTTGATCCATACGAAGAATAATTGTGGTGCTTAATCTTGAACTGCGTGTAGATTTCCATGATCATAGTGTTGTTAAGATTAGTGCCATTATCTGTGATGATCCTTTCAGGTATGTCATACCGACATATGAGATTATGCTTGATGAACTGGGCCACAACATTCTTGGTAATGGAGGCAAACGAGGCTGTTTCAACCCACTTCGTGAAATAATCAATAGCGACCAGGATGAAATGATGCCCATTACACGCGGTAGGCTTAATC